AAATATCACAAGATGATACAAAATAGAACAATAAGATTTGATCACTTTGCTAATAACAATTATTCACTTTATATTGGGTTTTCAGAAAATTCAGTATGTGCTTTTGTATTGTAAAATACGTCATGACTTCACTACAACCCAGTATTATTCACTATATATCTGATAAAGAAATCAAGTTGCAGGACCAGCAGATGGCATAATGGTTACCTTGCTGGACTTTCACATAGTTGACAGCAATTCCAGTCCTGGACCCATTGACTTAAACCTCACACTAAGTGCATGCACATGTGTGCCTAAAACCCCAAGAGAAGACTAGAGGAGAAGGGATTTCTGTGTGGCCATCTCCATAGAGGTAATATCTCACTTTCTGTCTCTCTGTCTTTCTTTGATTCTCTGGTGAGCACATGTGCCCTATAGCAAAAACATCTCTTAAAAAGAAAAAAAGTCAAGTTGATGATGAAGTTAAAAATGATTTTGAAACATCCAATAAGATTCTAATAATTTCAGAAAATAGAATAAGATATTCAATTACAAGGCATCGGCCTACTAGTTCTGTGGCAGAGAGTTTAGTTGCTGTACATAATTAGTAGAATCCCACATGGCTTACTGAAGTTGGAATCTTGGCCCAGGGGCTTCAAAAACACTTCATGGTTATGTGTGTGCATGCCCAGGAGGAGCCTTACAGGATGGAGGAAAGAAACAAAAAGGATTGTGGCACGAACAGGCCCCATAGGGAAGGAGTGCTTTCGCTGTCTCTCTCTGGTGCACACATACACCCTCTGGTGTTAATTTTTTTCTTTTCTGGTGGGCTGGCAGGTGGTGTGGTAGTGAAGGGCACTGGACTCCCATAGGGTAGACCATGGTTCAAGTCCCAAACCTGGTGACTTGCTTTCACACTTTCTCTCTCTCTCTCTTTAGCGTGCACACTTGTCCATGTGTTCTGTCCCTCTTTGAGCACATTGAAAATAAATAAATAAATAAATAAATAATTCTTAAAATTTTTTTTTTACCAAGACCCACATTTCATATAGTCTAGGAAAATATTAATGTTCCTGAGAAACCAAATATCTTCTAGGAATTTAAAACAAAATATGACCATCAGTACTATGTTATCAACTACTATTAATAGCAATGCTGTATCAGGGTTATACATAAGATCTACTTTAATTGACTCATTTTTTTCTTGTTATCTACATTAGTAAGTGTCAAAGCATAAAAGCAAAGTTTGTAGCCCAATGAGGCTCTTTACTTGATGCTGTGGATAAATAGCATGATAAGGGTTTTCACTAACTCATCTTTGCCTGGACTGAGAATAAAGAGGAACTCTTTATTAAAAATAAGTCATAAAATAATTAGGTCCTCTATAATGATCATTTAAAAATATAAATGAATTTACTTTACATTATGCTAACTGCTGGTCCTATCAACTTAATCCTGAAGAAGGAATCACATAGTCTGAACTCAAAAATCAAATCCCATAATTATCAAGCAAACAAGTGTTAAACACTTGTGTTAGGTACTATAGGGAGATGCAATAAAAAAGTGGTTCTCACTCACAAAATGTCTATTTAGTGAAAAGATGCTAAAACATGTGAAAGAGAAATAATAAATATGATGAGAACTCACTGAGGTAGAAAAATTATGTTGATAAATCTAAAACTCACATAGGAATATAATAATTATATCTAGAATAACAGAAGACAAATTTGAGTCACTTTATTTCCATAAAATAATTTTTTGGAGAGTTTTTATTGCTATAGGGCGCATGCACTCGCCAGACAGAGAGAGACAGAGAGACAGAAAGCGAGAAATCACCCCCCAGGGAGGATGGCCACACGGCAATCCCTTCTCCTCCATTCTCCTCTCAGGATCTTGGGCACGCATGCACACATGCCCGGCATGAGTTTAAGCCACCAGGTCTGGGACTCAAACTGCAGTTGACTACATGGGAGTCCAGCAACATAGCCATTATGCTAACTGCTAGTCCCCCATAACATAAATTGGATATTCATTTTTTAACCACAGTTCTTTCTAACTTTTTAAAGACCCAAATGGACTGTGGAGGAGACATCTCTCCTAATACGCAATACATCTAATTCTAAATGGTACATAACCCTTATTAACTCTCTTGAAACTAATTTCTGAACTGAAGAATTTCCAGCATACCTGCCTTATTCTTGTCAGTTCCATGTGAAATTTACAAAGACTTGGATGCTTGAGAATGAAACTCAGATTTAATCTCTCCAGTGGTTTGTGCAATAAAATTCAACTAAATAAAAAATTCAACTGCCACTTGAATTTATCCTTTTTAATTAATGCTGCATTTATCCTAAATTAAACTTACTATCTTCATAACAGCAAATTAAAGAGTCATTACTATTATTTCATTAAAGAGTTTCAACAAAAGCATAATATAATGGGAACAACAGTTGGAGTAGAGTTTACATCACTCCCACATGGTCAAATCTGGTTTGAGTCCCAGACCCAGTGGTTTCAGACTCATGCTGGGTGCGTATGTGTGCCTGTGTGCCCAAGATCCCAATTGGAGAATGGAGGACAGGTGATTGTGGCATTGGCCATCGCCGCTGGGGGATGATTTCTTACATTCCATCTCACTGTCTCTGTCTCTCTCTGAGAGCACACACAATCTAAGGCAAAAACCTCTACAGAAATAAAACAAAAGCATATTATAACAAAATTACTAAACAGTGACATAAAGTTTGTAATAAGCTTATGCCAAAGAATAAGTCAAATGACTCAAGTTGTGAGTACAGGTACTTAAAAGAAAACATAATATATTCCCATAATTACATATAAAGATTATAAAGAAGCTGAAATGTACATCTTTTTTGCAAAGGTATATAGTTTTGTTTCTTTACCACTGTGGTTTTGTACATAATCCTAAAGTGATTTTTAAATAGGAAATCATTTATATATTTGGAATTTTGTAATTTTTCTAGTCAATACATTTTATATGAAATTCACAGACCATTATATTTTTAAAAGCTGTTGACTGGCTTTTCTCTACAATTTGAAAGCAACTCATCTAGTGCTAGCTTTGGTCATTGGCAGTGCAGACTTGTTTCCTGGGTAAAGTGGTGCTTCCCATCATTCTAGCATGTCAGCTCAAAATCAATGGCTATTAATCAAACAATCAACTGCTCTGCAAAAGGTCAATGTGTTCTTATACTTTACCAGTACTGAAAAATGCATGGGCTTGAAGAGCTTAGAGATTCACATTACTCACTGGATTTGCTTCTTCCTAGATTTCCATTTGATGGAGCAATCAACTGTCTCCTAATCAATCCAAGCAGCATAGAAATGCAAAACAATCCAGTGTGACCAACAAAGGCAGTCAAAGTAGTGCCTGAATAGGTTACCAAACTAATGGTATTAGGGGAAACTCTCTGTATTGTAATTGAAGGGAAATTAAACTCAAGCACAGGACTGGGCTCCTTTTACCAATTCCCACCACTTTTTCAATTATGGTCGTCTGTGGTCATTTTATGTGCATGGGCCTTAAGATCCACTCTTGCAAATTCAGCTAATTTTATCTCTTCCCCTTATTTTACAGTAATATTGAATAACTCAGATGATTATGAAGGTAAAGAAGCACTTCAAATATTAAATTATTTTTTACTTTTGTATTTTCTAAGACCTACTATGTACACAGCACAGTGCTAGGAGATAAGAATGCAGGGCACATAAATGGTATATAGTGATTGAATTTTTTTTAAAGATAATAATAATCGTCTGAAAAAACTCATGAAAAGCTCTTTGATGATGATGATGTGTATTGTAATGTCTTTTTCTTGCTGGCCTGTGTGTGTGTGTGTGTGTGTGTGTGTGTGTGTGTGTATGTGTGTGCGTGTGTGTGTGCGCGCGCGCCCGCGCGCGTGCACACAAGATTCCTGGAGAATGGAGAAGACATTGCAGCTGTTGGGGATGGGGTGGGGGGTGAGGGTGGTGGTGGTGATTTCTCACTTTACCTCTTAGTGTCTCTGTCTCTGTCTCTCTCTCTCTGGAGAGCACAGGCACCCTAAAACAGCAACCTCTAAAAAAAAAATCCAGAAACAAACAACAGCATGTAAATCTATGACAAATGATTCCCAAAGCTGGACTCCAGAGAAATGGAGGCACTTGTTGAGGTCTTAAGCACCTTGGACAGAAACGACTTTGATGAGTAGGTAGTTAACTAGGCAGACCCTTGCTGTTGTAGTTTTTGTTTATAAGAGGTGTGAGGATTTGAGAACAATAGGAGCTAGCATTTATTGATCACTTACTGGGGTGACCTCACTCAATCTCTCAACAACCTGTACTTTTGCAACACGGTTTGGTATGTCAACCTAGGGTGGTTCTACTCGCACCCTATACATAGACCATACCTGCATCAAGAATTCAAAACTGTGCACAGCACGTCAGGGAGTCATTTCATTCACCATGAATGAAACGGATCACTAAGAGCTGGCCAGATGAACAGACTGACGGCGCACAGTGCTGCCTAAGACGTCGGACCTATCCACCAGCCATCTCTCCAGGTCTAGGAATTCCGTGAAACCTGTGATGCACAGACACTGGTTGGAGGCCTCCCAGACTAGAATCCCTGCTTCCCGGTCTCGGGCTCCTCCCCTCGCGTAGAGGGTGGCTTCAGGCTCGAGCCCGCCCAGCCCTTCCGCGGACTCGGCTCCGGGCCAGGGCCAACCCCGCGGGAACCCTCT